CCCCCCCCCCCCCCCCCCTCTCTCACATTCAAGGTCAGCTCCGGAAGAACGTCCGAAAAAAACGCCGTCGCTCCGTCCAACCCCGGCACGATGACCAGGGGCTGCTTCGACGGGTCTCCGTAGCTTCGGTAGGGGATGAAATCCTCCCCAGAAGGAGGGGTCATTCCCGCCTTCACATGCCTGTGTCTTGCCTGTGGTTCAATACGACGTGTAAGGTTGAAGGAATAATGGCAGTGTTGGGAACGTCTCGTCGAGAGCTTTCCGACGATGTACATTCTCACTTAGGTTTGGCGTCCTCTTGGTCGCGAAGCAATCGATCTTCCAAATTCGGTCCAGGGGGTATGGAATCTTACGTCTTCGACCTGCGGTGTCCTTCCTGCGGGACGTGATTGGAAGAAGGGGGTCTGGGGTTCGTGGAGCGAGACTGAATCGTGCAGTGTGTCATTGTTGTGATAGTGATACCGTTACGATGACAGACAACAGAGATGGTTCCTGTGGATAGAGCCGGTCCCAAATAGTAACGAAGCAATGAAACCAGGCGGGCCTGCGATCGGAATGCGCCGCAAAACACGAAAAAAACAAAAAAAAAATCGCCCAATAGGAAGCGGACGATCATCATGTTATTAGTTTAGCACCAAACACGATGAAAAACACCCCCAAAACAAAACACCTTGACCGACGTGACCACAGAGGTTCTTGGCAACAAAAACCTCCCCCCCGCCAACGCCGCCGCCGCACCCTCGCCCGCCCTCGGCCTGCCCTGCCTCGCCTGCGGGGCCCCCTCTTGCAAGGCGCCCCACGACGTCAACTCCGCCGCCCTACCCCCTGCGAAAAACGCCGCGCTGCTCCTTATAAACCCGAGCGCTCCGAGAGAGACGCAGGCTATCCTGCGGCCTGGGAGGCACGCGGAGCGCCTGCTGCCCATCCCTCCTCCTCCTCCGCATGCAGCCGGAATAGCTCTACGACTTTGTAAGGGTTGTTGTATCGAGAACGGGTGGGGGAGCAAGAGGTAGCTGTACGTTAGCCCACATAGGTGTGAACGTTGAGGTTGCACAGGTTGTGTTTGTGTAGGTGTGTACATGTCTTTTATTAATTAGCTTCGGAGCGCCTGCTTCCCACTATCCCCCCCCTCTCCCCCCCCCTCCTCGGCCTGCAGTGGGGATAGCTCTGCGACTTTGTTTGGGTCGTGGCGTCGAGAACGGTCGGGGGGCAAGAGGTAGCTGTACGTTGTCCAGTTTATTGTAGGTCTAAACGTTCAGGGTTAGTCAACGGTTTTGTTTGCGTATGTTTTTATTATTAGCATCGACCGCTCAAACCGGCTGACCAATGAAAAGACGTCAGTCTTAGTGCGGTTGAAAACACAAAACATTTCTATCTACCATGAACTGGGACCCCGTGAGGGGGCAGCATGGGGGAGGCTAAACAATCCTTCGGATTAAGAACAGAAACAGCAGCAACATGTTTGTGTATGTGTGTTTATTATTAGCACCCGAGCGTCTTCTGCCCGTTCCTCCGCCTGACGAAGGGAATTATCCACACCTGCTTTATGTGGGCAGTGTCGTGTCGAGAAGAGTGACAGCGGCAGCCCCACCTGGGGGAGAAAGGTAGTTCAACGTGAGCGCCCATCATGATCTGAATGGCACGAATACTAGATGCTACCATTACTGTATAACGTCTCTGCGGTTAAGGGAACGTCTGCTGTGTGCATCACACGTGCAGGGTGTTGGCACACTCGCAGCACATGGTAAACGAAACTGGGCATCCACAGTATCTATGCCAACGGAGATTTCGTTAGTTGATATCTACGATTCACTCGAGGTTTGGTTGATGAAAGTGTCGGAGGACTGCCTTCCTTCGCGCGCATGCGAGGCACGTGCCATAAACTCCAAGCGGGTGCTCTACGGTCAGAGACTGACTGGTTTTGTCAGCCTTGAGAGACCAGGTCTGTATTCTGTCGCAACAATATTACGGAGAAACTCTCCCACTGCTGCTCCGCGGCGAAAACAAAAAAAGGGGCAGACGCAGGCAGACAGATAGGAATGTGTGACGACTAACACGACGTTCACCCAGACGCAGGACGGCATTGAGAATATTCGGCTTCTCTGCACCTCTGCAAGACATTATCGACTCGGAGGATTGCGTTTTGAAGCCGAGCACACGTTCTATACCGTATTTGACACAAGATAACACACCCCCTGGATCAATTATCAAAGCTCAAATTACGCAACGAAGAGGATGCATAAAAGAAACAATACATTTTCGGAAAGCTTTCGACGAGACGGTCCCAACGCCGCCGTTTTCGGCGATGCGGCTCTTTCTTTTGTTGAGAAACCGAGGTTTGAAAATCGGTCCAGGGGGTGTGTTATCTTATGTCATTCACGGTATGTGCGTGGAGGGTGGAGAGCGGCGAGAGCGAAGGTGGCCAGCCCACCCACCATCCTTGCTTCGCTGAACTACTGTGAATGACACAAGATAACACACCCCCTGGACC